AAAAAAAAAAAAAAAAAAAAAGAGAGATATACTTTTTACTTGAATTGAATATACACATGGATTTCCCACAGGGATAAAGTATGCTGGCCTAATCAATTGTCATTTTCTGGCACAGCTATTAGTAGGATGGCCTTCTGTGTATCAATCAGTCCCCTTGTGAACTGACTTATATGAGGGTCTTCTTGAGCCTAAGCAACTCTGAGGGTCCTGATAAAGCAGTGACTGGTGCCCACTGTATGCCAGGCTCTCCTTCTCACTTCTCAAACATAAGCCACCGCTTAGGAAACAGAAAAGTACCTTTGTTATTTAACGCGCTGAATTCTCTCACTGTGCCAAATGAAATGTACAAGGATGCGCTATTACAAACTTGTATTATAAACATGTCCCTGCACTCTTTCATCCAAAACACCTGTAGTGACAGCCTGCCATGGGCCAGGACCCTGATCCAGGCACTGGAGCTAGCCTGGTGAACAAGATAGACAAGCTCACTCACTCATCCTGGGGAGACCACCGGGTACCCACCCGCCCCTCACAGCGCTAGACGTGGGGTGCAGAGAGGAAGGAGAGTGTGGAGCTTCAGAGCCTGAGCCCTGACCCTTCACCCCAGGGGGCCTCTCTCGGCTGCCGGAACTGACAAAATGGACCCCAGTGTGAGGGCCTCAGGCTTTAAAGATGACCGAACACCTATCAACTATTTTCACTGTAACCCAGTGAAAACAAAACTCAGGGATATTCCCACTTAAAATCATGGACCCACAGTATGAAGGTGCAATGGCTACATGTTCCCCCAAGTTAACCAATATTTATTGCCACAAAATGCTTTTTGATATTAAATTAAAAAAATTTGTTTTTACCTTTTTCTTGTGTATGCTCTGGTGGAACAGGTGAGCCTGGAAATCCATCTTGTTCAGAAATATTTTCCTCATCTCCACTTTCCACCCCATGTGACGATGGAACCTTTTTGTTACAGAAGACAAAGGAACAACCAACTATGTGATAAGTGCTTCTGTATCAAATTTCTTCCCAACAAACCCAAACGTCTTATTCCATACCTTCTCCACTGCTCTTTCCTCTCTAAGACATAAAGGACCACATCTGGCAGGGCTGGATGAAATCTCGGGTCCCTCAGGAGAAGCCCAGTGGCAAAGGCAATGCCGTCCAAATTATGCTTAAGCCATTGAGAACTTCACAGCCACCCCCACCCCACCAATGCTACCTGGGCAGCTCGCCTTCCCCATTCCTGACAGGGACCAACTCAGGAAAAGGGGCTGCCTCTGGCCTGCTCTGCATAGCACCCAGTACCACCCTGCCTTGGTACTGATGCTGTGTATTCATCTCTGCATGGGACAAGACCTGCTGACAGGCCCTGTGAGAGCCCTCATCCAGGCAACTGTTTGGGATCGAGGTCCATTATGCTGGCTGGCTGGGCGTCCACTGTGAATGTTTCCTGATGGAATGGAACTCTCCCCTGTGCTGTCTGTGAGCATCTTCTACGTAGGTATCATGAATGGTGGCAGGGCTGCAGAGCTGCCCCTCACAGACCTGTGGGCCATGACTGGGACCTCCCCTGATGAACAGGAGACCACCCCACTGGCGGGGCTCTGGGAGGTGGGGCAGAGGCTGCCCAAGGGGAAGCGCAGTGAACCATGTCTTGTACAATAAGCTGTGACTGGTGCTCCCTGGCTGGCTTCCCTTCTGCTACACTGAACAGTATCTTGTGTATGTGATCAGCTTGGCTTAGCTGTGCTGTGCTGCAGGCCGTGGAAGGGTCATCCCCATGGCTGGCAGGGAGGGGGCAGAACTCACTGGCAAGATGCCCAAGAGAAGGGGCATTTCAGAGCCAAAAGCTAAGGCTAGGCCCACCAGGCTCTGGGTACAGGGCTCCAGGGCGACCCAGCTCAGAGCCGCAGAAAGGTCTCCCACTCTACTCATCATTTGAAGGGATTAAAAAGAAATGACCTCTTAGGTTTTGTCTCCTAGGAACCCATCTGCCTTGTTCACCCTATCAAAGATATATTATGCTACTCACTTTTATCAAGGAAATACGAAACTGCTATGGGCTTCCCTGGTGGCGCAGAGGTTAAGAATCCGCCTGCCAATGCAGGGGACGTGGGTTTGAGCCCTGGTACAGGAAGATCCCACATGCCGCGGAGCGACTAAGCGTGCACCACAACTACTGAGCCTGTGCTATAGAGCCTGCGAGCCATAACTACTGAGCCCGCGTGCCACAACTACTGAAGCCTGTGTGCCTAGAGCCCATGCTCTGCAACAAGAGAAGCCACCGCAATAAGAAGCCCGTGCACCGCAACGAAGAGTAGCCCCTGCTCGCTGCAACTAGAGAAAGCCCGCGCGCAGCAACAAAGACGCAACGCAAGCCAAAGATAAATAAATAAACATAAAAAAAAAGTAAATGCTAAAGATACGCTATTATGGAAAATAATGTTTGGCAGCATCTACTAGCACTAAGACTGATCGTACATATGCCCTATGACCATACATATATCACTCATCAGTATATATGAGCGGTATAGACCCACCAGAAATATACATATATATACACACAAATGTTCATAGCAGCACTATTCCTAAAAGCCCCAATCTGGAAACAACCAAATATTCATCATCAGTAAAATGAGTAACTAATTGGATGTTATAATTGTAGAACTGGATATTATACAGCAATAAGAACAAACGAACAACTGCTACACACAATGACAGAAGACTCTCAAAAACTCCAAAGAATACGTACTGTATGATTAAAGTCATAGAATCCTCAGAATAGGCAAAACTAACCTACGGTGATTTTCTAAGATCCAGTCTACTCTTGGAGTCAGGGCAGCGGTTAACTCTTGGGGGAGTAGTGAGTCCTCTCGGTCACAGAGGAGGACTTCTGGGGTCCTAGTAGTGTTGTTCTTTTTCTTTTAATCTGGATGGGGGCTACTTTGTAAAAATTCACTGAGCTGTACACTTATGGCTTATATGCCTTTTGTGTATATTTAATACATCGATAAATAAGCCTAAAGAATTTGTGACAATACTCTAAACACTCTAATTTAAAAGTTTTAATTTAAAACATTTTAAAAACTATTACATACTTCTGAGTATGAAAATCACCTGGTTACTAAAACAAAAATTGTTTGGGTACTGGAGGAAGGGAGGAAGAAGCCGGCCAACTCAGCCACAGCGCTGCCATCAGGGATGCCAGGAGTGGCCTTTTCCTCATCCGTCTGTAGCCCTGGCCTAACCTCCTTCATCCTCCTCCTGGTTAGGACACTAACTCAGATTTTAACTTTTTTTTTTTTTTTTTTTTCTTGCGTTATGCGGGCCTCTCACTGTTGTGGCCTCTCCCATTTGCGGAGCACAGGCTCCGGACGCGCAGGCTCAGTGGCCATGGCTCACGGGCCCAGCCGCTCCGCGGCATGTGGGATCTTCCCGAAACGGGGCACGAACCTGCGTCTCCTGCATCGGCAGGCGGACTCTCAAGCACTGCGCCACCAGGGAAGCCCCTAACTCAGATTTTAAAGGGTAAAATGTACATGCTAGAATTTACAGGGTAATTATCAGAAAAGAAAACAAGCCAGTATAATTTGCAAACTAGTAGAGGAAAAGAAATAGAACTAAAAAAATCATCAATCCAAAAGAATGGAAGAGGAAAAAAGATACAGAGTAATAGGACAAGTAGGAAAAATAAAGATGGCAGATTTAAACTCAAATATATCCATATAATATGTTAAACATGAAAGAACCAAATGGTCCAGTAAAAAGACAAAGGAAAAGTTTGTCAAACTTGGTTAACAAAAACTATATGCTGCATTGAATTGTAAACATTAAATGGATGACTAGTATGTATGTGAATTATATCTCAGTAAACTTAAAAAAAAAAAACAACTAGATGCTATTTACAAGACAGAGCTAAACATAAGGATATAGAAAGGTTAAAATTGAAGGATGGATTGGGAATTCCCCGGATATCCAGTGGTTAGGACTTGGCGCTCTCACTGCCGGGGCTGCGTGGCATGGCCAAAAAAAATTAAAGGTTGAAAAAAATAGACCACACAAATATCAAACAAAAGAAAGATGGAGGGGACTTCCCTGGTGGCACAGCGGTTAAGAATCCGCCTGCCAATGCAGGGGACACGGGTTCCAGCCCTGGTCTGGGAAGATCCCACATGCCACGGAGCAACTAAGCCCGTGCGCCACAACTACTGAGCCTGCGCTCTAGAGCCTGTGAGACACAACTACTGAAGCCCGCGCGCCTAGAGCCCGTGCTCCGCAACAAGAGAAGCCACCGCAGCGAGGAGCCCGTGCACCGCAACGAAGAGTAGCCCCTGCTCGCTGCAACTAGAGAAAGCCCACGCACAGCAACGAAGACCCAATGCAGCCAAAAATAAACTTTAAAATTAATTTAAAAAAAAGAAAGATGGAGAATGTCAGATGAAATAAGACATTAAGGTAAATAACCTCTTTAGAGATACAGAGGTTCACTTCATAGTGACAAACTGTTCAATTTACCAGGAAGATATAATTTTAAATTTGTACACACCTAAAAATGTAGTCAGATGCAAAATAATACACGTTCTATGATTCCATGAATATAAAGCTCAAAAATATGCAAAGCTAATCTGTGACATCTTCTCTTACTTGGAGGTGGAAGCAAGATATTGGAAAACCTGGCAACATGGCAAAGAAGCTGCAGCATCTAGGTTCCTGTGACTGTGGGGCGAGCCAACTGTAAGAGCCAGCGGTGATTAACCCTAAGGACGCATAGGGTGCAGCCCCAAATGGCACTGGCACCTTCCCAGGTGTCCCACCTCAGATCAATGATGCCAACCTAAGAACCCCAGCCCAAAGGTACAGACACTAGTGGTGGAGCAACAGAAGGGTTCAGTTAGCTCCACCTCAGGGTAAAGTCCAGGCAAGAGTGTGGTCAGATTGTGCAGTGGACCAAGGACTAACTCTGGGAGGGGCAGTTTTGATTTGTAGGGTAGAGGGACCATGCGGGCCTGCACTGGGACCTTTTTAAGTCCGACAGCATGCTGGACCTCCCCTGGTTTGGTACGTTATGGTAAGTGAAATAAGTGTTTGTGAATCCACGCCTCCTCACTGCTGCATGGAGACCCCACCGCTGGAAGATGGCAGGGCTCAATCTTGGTGGCTTCTGCAAATTGGCTGGTGTGACAGCTTGGTGCCTGACTTGAGATCCTGGTCTTCTACCTCCACCAGTGGGGGTCCAGCTCATGCAGAGGTGCTTGCATTGCTAGAGCAGAGTCAATGGTCTACATGTGCATACACTAACCGTGGACATTCCTATCCGCACAGGGATGTGTACGTGTAAATGTGGACAGGGAGACTGCAGGCACCGCAGCCCACCTGGCAGTCAGGGCCCCGCTTCTACCTTGCTGAGAGAACCCTGATTTTGTTCAGTGCACGTGGGCTCAGCCCATAGTGATAGTAACCCTCTTCCCCTTAGCCAGTAATTGGCCAAGGGATGGGCATGTAACCAATGAGCCTCCTGCTGGGAGGCTCCCAGGAAAAAATGTTCCCCGTAATGAACACAGCGCAGCCTGAAGGACCTTGCCCTGCTTCCTCCTGTCTGCAGGAAGAACTCGCTGCATTTGATGACCACAAGGAGCAGGCCAAGAGAATCTCAGGTGCCAGTCTTTGACAGGCAGCTGAAACAATTTGGAATCTCCTACCTTTTGATTTTGTTATGTGAGAGAGTTAAAGGTCTATTATTTAAACCTTTTGTTTGCCTGTCTGATTATTTGTAGCCAAGAAAATGATACAGACATCGAAGTGACCGCAGAGGCCTGTCCTGGAGAGAAGAGGAGGGCTGGAACGGCAGGGTCTCAGGGCAGTGCTTGCTTTACATGCAGTATCAAACGTTTTTATAAGACATGGGGATTCTTGTATACTTGTGTAACAGAAAGAAAATTTTAAAGAAATTAAAAATTAAA